GTGCTTTTTCAAGAGGCAACTGGACTGGATTGGGGGGGGGGAATGGAAGGATTTATATTCCTTGCAGACAGACAGAATCGAAATGACCAGCTGTCTGCAAGGAATATACATCCTTCAATTCCCCACCATCCAGTCAGAACTGAAGAAACCTCTTGGATGAGAAGTGAAATGTCTTAAAAGAAAAACAAGAAAGTCCAGTTGCCTCTTGGAAAATTCCACTATAAGTAAAATCATCTGACCTTGATGTCATCTTTTGAAACCAGTGGAACTTTCTTAGATTTATAAACACACTTCTAGTTGCAAAATATTAGAAGTTTCCAACTTTTGTCATTTAAATTGAAGTCTGTGACCTTCTCAATGACTCTTTGAATGAAACAGAGGCTTGTGGTTTAATTAAATTGAAAATGGCAAACACTTCTATATATAGTCTCTAGATTATAGATCACTATGTTAAAAGGGCAAATCAGGAAAAAGACTGAGACAGAAGAGATTCTAAATGTTTCCTGAAATTCAATTTTTTTCCTTCACGAAGCTATGGACAAAATAGTTTGACATGCATTTCTTGCATAACTCAAAGTAAGAAGCCAAACACAGCTATAATTAATAGTTTACAAGATGCTTGATCATCTTATTTTTGCATTCTTAGGAAGATGGCAAGACCAACAGATAAATACCTTAATAGGGATTTTTAGTAGATGGACATTGCATTAGTTCGATGGAGCTACAAAATTCATATAGTTGATTAGTTGCACTCAATGTACTGGTTCACTGGAAGCCAATGTGCTGGAGTATTGGATGGCTGACAAGACAGGAAAGACCTAGTTTCTAATACCTACTTTGCTTCTGAGGCCACAGAACAGGACTGATAAACCTCTAGTGCTGGACTATAGGTCCCATATCCCTCACTACTGGCTATATTACAAGGGCAGATGGAAACCTGACTTAAAATTTCTGTAAGGCCACATGTTACTTGCCCCGGACAGGGAACAAAGCTCATTGTTCTATTACAGCTTATCTTGCTGTGAAATGGGAAGGAGAAATCTCTGGATATGGTCAAAACAGTGAAGACAGCAACCATAAGGTGATCAAAGCTCTTTGATAAGGTGACCAAAGCTCTGCTTCTTTTGTGCAATGCACATGATAATGGGCAAAGCTTATGTCACCCCACTCTGGCCATTTTTATATTATGACCACCCCCATAGACTCTTCTGAGAAACCTTTACTGTACAGTGCAATAAGTTTACAGATATGTTTAAACTTCTGGTTTCACTTTGTCATTATGTGGTACTGAGTGTAGATTAATGAAAAAAAATGAATTTCAACAGCTGTAGAATCAGTCTGCAATGTAACAAAATTGAAAAAAGTGAAGAGGGTCTGAATACTTTCTGAATGCATTGTATCTGTAATTTTAGATTAGAAAAAGGTGTCTTCTAAATTTTTTCTAATTTTATTTTTCAAAAAGCCATAACCTCATGCCATGTTAACTAGAGGAGAGGGAATTTTCACTTGGAATGTTTTGTCATCTGTAGCCTTTAAAATCTCTTTCATTCTTTTCCTGTCAGTTTTAAATAGAACGACTATTATTTATTTACTGATTTTCACATTCTTAGTATTTTTAGTACCTCTTCCTATAATTGGGAAGTCTAAATGGAAGAAATTCAGTAAAGCATCTGGTGTTCCAGTCCTCTATCATCTGTCTGCTCCATTCCTGAAAGAGAACTTATATTTCTAAGAGGAACATCCAAAATTCACTTTGGGTATTATTGCTATTATGGTTACTAGTAAATATAACAGAATAATATAATAACAGGTTGAATTGGCCTCAATAATTGTGGTAACTACTCATGAACAAGAGAATTATAACAAACAAAATAAATATTTCAGTGTTTTGTGTATAAATTTAACTTTATAGCTAAATTATAAAAAAGATTTGTTTGGGTTTGGTTTGGTATACTGCCTGATTCCTGCCTATTGGTTTATAAACTATAATAATGGAAACAAACTTGGCCAATACTTCCAATTATTGGATGTGGCATTTATGAACTGCTAGCTGCTCCAGAGATTAGTTGTGCTAAATTAGAATATTAAGCTTCACTTAGGTATATTCAGAAATATCACTTTGAAAAAAAATAGAAAGAGGAGAGAGAGAGAGAGCGCCAGAAAGAAAAGAATCACTGGACAATTTATGCAGAATACATGAAATGTCATTATGAATATATTGCAAAATGTCATTATAATTTGCAATATAAATGACAATAAAATGGCATTTAACTGTAGTCTATAATCTTTACACTTCTTTGACTTTGTGGATGAGTCTGGAATCTCTTGTAACTTTTTTCTTTTCCTCTTTTAATAGAAATAAATTAGGCATTGACAAATGTCTTAGGCTGGAGATAGCAAGAAGTGATTTCACGTTCATAATTAGATAGAGAAAAATAATTAAATCCTTATATTTTAACTCAGCATCAAATGGTTTGTAGATGTTGTTACTGTCAAGCCATAAAGTATAAGGTGAGCATCAAACTATATCTGGATGCTTTCAATCTGGAGATCACACTAAATAATGTTACAATTAAAAATTGCAAATCTATGGCTATGCAAAAGAAATTTTATTTAGTATCAGGTAAAATTTTAGTCAGATAGATGAGGGAATGTCTCTGCTGTGTAATGCAAATGGCTCCTGTAAACTGCAATTTTTCTTTTTTAATTGCAGACTATAGGAACCATTTGAGCTTCAGTTTGAGATGCAGACAACACAGACTTATCCCCAACAGCCTGCACCTGTGTTCAACAGTGAAGGGACACAGGGCAGCAAACATCCTGCAGAAAGCACAGCTCCACAACAGTCCTTTCAGCAGTTCCAAGAAGGCTACACACCCATTTGCACTACTCAGGTGACCCTGAAGACACAGACAAACCTCCAAGTGACCTCAACGACTCTCTAAAAGAATGCAAATGACCAGTTGTCTGCAAGGAATATAAATTATTCCATTCCCCACTATCCAGTTAGAGCTGAAAAAGTTCTTGGATCAAAAGTGAAACATCTTCAAAGAAAAACAAGGAAGTCCAGTTGTGTCTTGAAAAAGCACCTTTGGGACAACCATGACCTGGATGACTGAGAATCTCCATAGACATTTTGCAAAGTTTCCACCAAAATAGATTAACCAAAGTACGTGCAGTTTTGTAAGACTAACATCAACCCTGATAGTTCTGTTTCTATAATCTGATTTGTCCCATATGAAATCCATAGATCAGGGGTGTCAAACTCAATTTCATTGAGGGTCGCATCAGCATTGCAGTTGCCCTCAGGGGGCCAGGTGGGTGTGGCCAGGGTGGGTGTGGCCTACTGGGTGGGTGTGGATGGAATGGGTGTGGCCTACTGGGTGGGCATGGCCAGCTCTACATCATTCACGTCAAGGGTGCCTGTGGGTGCCTAGGCAGGAGTAGGACAGATCTGAGGGTCTCTGGCAGAAGGGGGTGGGACCAGGGCAAGTGCCAAGGCATGGTCCATTTCTTCATTCCTCACAAAGGGTGACACCTCCCCAGCATGCACCCAGGGGGCGAGGCCGACACATCAGGGGCTGGTTCCTCGCTGTTTCCAGACGGCCTTGTGGAGCTAAGACTGAATCCGTTTCAGCATAGATGGCCACCACAAAATTGTACATTGGCTCCCAGCGGCCTGGGCCAGGGCCAAGGCAGCGGGAGCCGTTCCCTGTTTCCAGGATGGCTTTGCGGGCCACATGAAACCACTTCACGGGCCACATCCAGCCCCCGGGCCTTGTGTTTGACATGTCTGCCATAGTTCTAAAAGCTATCAGCAAATATTTCTTATTGGTGTTAATAATTCAGATGGGTAGGTAGCTTGGAGTTCTACAACATTTTGAGATTGCAGGTTTTATAAATCTGGTCATGCTTGATGAGGAAGTCCCCAAATATAGAGAAAGTACGCTGCCTGTCCTTGCGCATTAACTACTATGTTTTTTTTTGTGATAACTGAGCAATTCAGAAAACTCCCTTGGAAGACAACTAATACTATACATGTCTCTTGCCATCCATCATAGGAATTTTGCACAAGTCATTCTATATTAGAAAAGATATTTATAGTTTAATTTGGTAAATGTTTACTCAGAGGATAATCTGAATGAATTGGTAGGTTAAATGCAAAAACAAAGCATAATTTTAAAAAAAAAGCCAGTTTGGTGCAGCAGTTAAGGCTTGAAACCAGGAGGCTGGGAGTTCTAGTCCTACTTTAGGCACAAAGGCAGCAGGGTGAACTGTGGGCCAGTCATTCTCTCTCACTTCTAGGAAGCAGGCAATTGCAAATCACTTCCGGAAAATCTGACCAAGAAAACTGTACGAATTTGTCCTGGCAGCCATCAGGAGTCCAAAACCTGAAGAAAGGAATGGGAAAGGGGAAGGGGAAGGGGAAGAAAGGAAAATACCCTAAAGTAGCCTTTTTCAGTCTGAATGCAATGCAATAACTCTCAGTAAAAGAAATCTGTATGATTTTGCTGAGAATTCGCCTTAGTTCACAATTTCTTTCCTTCTGTACAGGACCACACTTGCTGAACATATCCAATAATTTACCTAAGTGATTTGTCAAACATGAACAGAAAGTCAATCTTACTCATTTAAACAAGAAAATAATATTTTGTCACTTTGAGAAATTACATTCAAATGAAATATGGTGGGTAAATCAAATCACAATACTGCCCTTAAATTGCTCATTGGTGCTTAAGAAAATACGATTTAACTCTGCAGAAACAGCTTTTTATCTTGCCAATTTTCGTTTCACTATGCAATCATCATTTATTTGTTCCATTGTCCTCTCCTAGCTGAATAACACACGTGCTTATTTTGCTTCCCTCATTAATTTGTGCTTTTGCATTAGAAAAAATTACCCCACACATGGGAATCAAGGAGCAAGTATTAAAACATTGAATATAAGCTTTTTAAATATTCACATCAACTTTAATACATAAATACAAAATAGGCATAAATTACAATGGCACAACATCATTTTTTTATTAAGAACAGAATTGCTTACACAGACTAGATCTATATAAATAAAATCACCATACATTTTCATTGTATAAGAACATTATACTTTTTATAAAATTAAGAAATGTAATTTTCATCCCTCAAATTGTTACTGTAAATGAATCATGCATTACTTTTACAGAACAAAGAGAAAAAAAATCCACCAAGTTGACAAAGCCCTGACAAGGATGTAACTTTATGCTCCAAAATTAGACATTAAACATAGATGTACAAGGACTACTAACAGAACAGCAAAGATCAAAGTATAATACAGTGGCAGTATGTCAAAAAAGCAAAGTCATATTAAAAATAACAGGACTTCTGCTTATGTACCTTTGGAGACAGATAGTAAATAAAAATGAAGGATGAGTATCCAGCATGCAACTGAATAAAACATTCCGGTTTGATAATGAGTGTATACAGTGGACTATTTATGAGAAGTGCAGATACCAGACCATGTGCTTGCAGTCATTTGATAAACTGCTTGAGCCATCGTCCCTCCTTCCAAATTCTCCAGAGGGTTCTGATCAAAACTTGCTGAGCAGTATAGTTACTATTATTTTCAGTGTGATAAAAAATCACCAGTTTCTCAAATGGCTACAAACACAATGGGAACACATTTCCATATGGTAAATGGTCACCTGTAAACACTCTGTTTTGATCAAAGAAAAACAGGAAAAGAAACACAAGAAGCCAAATGTTACACAGTTCATCATCTAGAAAACTCTGAACTGTAAGAAGTTAGTTATTTATTTAGCAGTTGAGGTGTCCTCCTGGTTGTTATCCTTTCTGAATGTGGTCCCATCATCATCTTTTTATTTTGTATAATTTTCCTTCAAGGTAATTGAGGCCCTTTGGAAGAATTGCAGGACCCCTGATGTACTTTCACCCACTTTCCTTGCCCAATCTACTTCATTACAAGCCACCTTTTGATTCAGTGCTTGAACATAATCTTAATGATGTGCGCAGTTGCATTTATATCAGTTAGAGAATAATGCTGATTTCCACATTGCTGAGCAATATTTAAAAACAGTGGGAATCAAAGTGAAACAGATCTTAGGGTCTCCTCTCTTGTGTTAATACATTTTTTTAAAAAAATAATAGGACAAGCTATTTCGTAAATATGGACTTTATGATATAGTGATTTTTCCATTACAATTTCATTCAAATGCCCTTATTTGTTCATAGGTTCCATAATTTTATAGTAAGTTGCTCTATCCGAATGTAATAATACAGTGATAAATCAAGAATAATTCAATTTGTTTTGGAGAAATTCTTTTTTTAAAATGTGCTTTCCATCTTTTTGCTGTTAATATCAAGAATGGGAACACACTGTGTTGCTAAAATAACCACAAAGAGAAAAAAGCCCTAAAATAAGTTTTCCACTAATTTCTTCAACTATTTTCCCTATTTAAGGTTATTTTGTTTTACTTTTCTACAAGTGCTATTTGAAAAATCACTTACTGGATACCTCCTTAATGATATAATTCAAAATTTAAAGGAACTTATATAGTATATAAATATTTATATATTATTTGAATGCTCAACTGATTGAAGTCCAAACTCTATTTCTTCTATTAACTCAGAAATCTGTTAAATCAAGACCAGTTAAATTGAGGTTTTACTATATATAATTATATAGTAGAGTATATATAGTTATGTTAACCTAGTATTATAGAAAAATGAAAGAAAAAAAGGAAAGGTCTGAGATATGTATAATAAAATATGTCTCCCAGATTGAGCAAACTGCTCAAAAGTCCTTTTTTTTGTCCCCTTTGTTTCATTTTCCTATATATTTATGTCTGTCTGTCTGTCTGTCTGTCTCTCTCTCTCTCTCTGTATACAGATTGGACTTATGGATTGTTCTAGGTTTAGCCCATTTGCTTGGAGATTTAAATGGAGTAATTTGGATAATACTTGCAGCAGAATACCTTCAGAAGAATTATAGCACTTCCAGTTCTATGTTGCCACATTTAATAACAAAGTAATCTGACTAGATCCCATGTGTTCCTTTAAACCTGGCATGGAATGTTTAGATATACTCAAATTATAAGTCCCTTCCAGAAGGTTTAGGTGTACTCAAGTCTTCAAAAACTGTACCCTATTTACTAGATGGCAACACAGACATGCATGACGCTATACAGCAAAGAGATGGCAGCATCACTGCAGATATGTATGTGTGAGTATGTGTGTGTATATAACCATAACATGGCATGGGAACAGATTGTTTGTGGAACTGCTTCTCCCTGGTTTTATCTATCCACTCCATTAAGTCACCAGGCAAAGTATTTAATGGATACCGTATATTATGGTGCCAGCTCTGTTGTGATTTTGGACCATTATGTCACTTGGAGCATTATGTTACTCGGAGAGATGCCTCCCAGAAATTTTTCCCAGCAGCCTTGGGAAAACAGGGACTATGCAAAATGTTACATTTACATAGAACGTTGGCCTGTTCTCCTACAATCTTTATATTTATATTTAATTGTTTTTAATTGTTGCTTACAGATATTTTTAACTGTTTTATTGTATACTGCCCAGAATCACATTTCTGAGGTAGGCAGCTACATACATTTGATGGACAAATAAGCATCCACAATCATCCACAGAGCCATCTGGAAAATATAGTAGAGTTTTAAATGGCTGATTACACCCTAATCTTCAGGTGAAGTAGCATGAAATATGCATGATTGTCTGTGTATGAACATGCAAGTACAGGTCTGGAGATCATTTATTCTACAAAATTGATTTGTTAATTAATAACTTAACATGGAACCAAAAATGGGATATTTAGGCTGTGATCTTTAGAGATGAGACTGTATCCTCAGAAGCAGAATACTTTGCAATGTTGCATTTCTTTTGATTCTTTTCTTTGTTATGCATGTGATGGTATGAATCGGTGATATAAGACTTTCTCAACACTGGTTTACAAATCTGATTAACCAAACCACATAACTCCAGAGTATTAAAAAAATACTGTAATCAAGATGTCTTGGTCTACATCAGCTTCCCTAATCCAGGTCCTCAATTCCCACAATGGCCATGCTGGTTGAAGAATTTTCAACGTGTCTGAAAGATATCAGATTGGGGAAGACTCATTTTCCATTAGGAACTCGTCAATCATTCCACTTTTTGATTGACAGTAATCTTGCATACAGTACAGTGTAAAAAAAAGTGCTAAAGGGATTTGTTGCAGGCTGCAGGGAACTACTGTTAAGTAGTAGCAACATTTTCTCACAATTTACTAGCCGAATTAATGTTAATTTGACCTCTCCCAGAGGATGAGGGCTTGAACATCAGATTTTTCAACCCTTTAAGGCAATGTTACATGAAAAATGGAAGTTCAACCGACCAATCAACCAAACAAAAGACAGTGACAATAGCTACAGATAATCAAAATGTTTTTCTTTTTTCTTTTGTTCCAACACATATTTAATGAAAGAACAAAGTTTATAAGCTTGTTTGCAGAAGGTTGTGAAAGCTGTAAGGGATGGTTTACTATATGGTATTATTTCTTCAATTATGCCTCTTTAAATAATATTTGTTTTTTATTGTCATGGTTTATCTAAACATGAATTGAAGCATTCCACAAAATCCACAAACTTCCTGTCTATGATGTGATACATTTAAAGTTGTTTCATGTAATTATTCATAGTGCCTCAATAAAAATGGAAACGTTTGTGAAATGTTTGAAGCTAGAGGAAAATATGTTTTAGTTTGTGGGTGGCTGGGTAGAGAATGAATAAATCTTTTTATTAAAGCAAGTTTTGCAGCTGTGTAATCAATTTGTTGCTTTGAAAATAAAACATAATATATGGCCTGATTTGGATTACATTGGAAAGCGACTGATCTGTAAATTTAAAAGCATATTAGGTACGTGCTTTTGTCACAAAACATCTATTTAGTAGGAATTTAACTATAATTTATCATTTCAATTTATAATTTACAAAAATATAGTCATGTACTTAAAATAGAGTTTTAATATATAGAATTCAGGACTCTTTATCTTTTAGTAAAGAAGTAAACAATGCTATTTAATTCTTCTGTGCTGTTCTGTTCACCTGGAGGGCAATCATCCCAAAGGACCAGAAAAAGAGATCAGTCTTTAGACTTGCTCTGTTCTTATCAGGCCTACAGCTACTCCAAAAATCTTGAGATGAAATTTTTGAGAGACCAGCTTTTTTGAGTGAACTTAGGTCATACATACCCATGTTTCCTCACAAATAAGACCGGGTATTATTATTATTATTATTATTATTATTATTATTTTTACCTCCAAAAGAGGCGCCAGGTCTTATTTTGGGGGGGTGTCTTTTATATTCACCTCCGGCACTGACAGCCCTGCCCAGCCGGTCCACTTCTTCTGGGGCCAAAGGAGCAGCTTCATACTGCAGCTGCATTCCGGCCTGCATTTCTCAATCAGGCCTTTCCGGACGACCTCTGCAGCTGAGTACTGAGCTATGGATTGAATCCATAGCTCGGTTCTCAGCTGCATAGCTCTTGTAGCACCGAGCAATGGATTCCTGGCTGCAATGGCTTTCTGGAAACGCCTGTGAATGAGAAATGCAGGCCTGGCTGCAGAAGATGCTGCAGAAGAAGTGGGGGGGAGGCAAGGAGAGGCCTGGCTGCCAGGTAAGTGGGTGTGGGGTGTGTGGGGCAGCTCCACACCCCCACCTCAGCTTGATTTTTTAGATATGTGCCTTGCCCCAAAGCTAGGGCTTATTTTTGGGGTAGGGCTTATATTAGGCCCACCCCCAAAAATCAAGCTAGAGCTTATTTTTCTGGTAGGCCTTACTTTTGAGGAAACACAGTACTATGTAAATAGAAAAAAAAATAGGAGGGGCAAAGGGAATTTTAAGAGGCCAGATAATCAGCTTGTAGTTTCTATATCTAGAAAAATAAATTGATTTGCTGCTCACTCCATTATTTTCCCTACAAAATCAAGATCAGTAGAAGGAAAGGGCCAGAGGTCCCAAACTCTATAAAAGTGAACAAGAAAGGCAACATGTAAAGAAGGGATCAAATCCTTCCTTCGCTTTGGGAAAGATGGCAGAAATGCACCCTTCGGCTTCAAGATAAAAACTTTAATGATACTGGAGAAAGGCTTCTCTTTCTATAGATTTTAGGGGGTGCTTTTAGGATGCAATATTAAATATGTTTATGACTATAAACTCTTATTCCCAATTTTTCAATGGGGAAAAATAACCAGAAAAGTGTCTAGAAAAATACTCCTTCCTTTGCTCTAAACATCTGGCTGACCATGCAACCTCCCCTAACAATTGTTACAATTAATTATAATTTTGTATTGTATATAAATTACAATATAATTATAACTATCCATGCTGCTACCAAGACAGCTACAAGGACATTTCAAGCTTGACGCAAAGGAAATGTTATAAATCGAGTATTATTTTCTGAATTTTTTGTGTGCCTACGGGTAGGCAGTTCATTCTGATTGTTGAATGGAGCTAGAGTTCAGTTTGTGGAAACTTCTAGATCATTTATTGCATGGTAATTCATAGACCATAAATTTGAAGAGCTGTTTATCAATGGTATGACATCTAAAGAAATGGAAAGTGGGATGCAGCAAGATCATATTTATGATAATAACCATAATAAAAATAGGATTTTGATAAATTTCCAAATGTATATCAAAATGGATTATCTTGTTGACTAAGACAATGTGACTTATTACATAATTTACTTGAAAGCCCATCAGTAACAATAGAAGCATGTTCCTGATAGACACGGGTAACTATGTTAGAATGAAAACTGTACAAAACTTCAGGAGCAAAGATATCTTTGTAATTAATAAAAGTTTTGCATTCTATGGGTTGGGATTTATAAATCCTGGGGTTGGGGAAAAAGTTAGTGCCAAACAATGGAATTAAGGGGAAGCCTTAGCCCCTTTTGGACTCTGTGCAGAATGGCCCCTGAGAAACTGGCTAAGAAAGGGTTCAACAGGAATGCCAAATTTCTGCTGAATAGGTTAAAAGAGTGAAGAAGCCTCTTCGGCAGCCATCAATGTGCAGAAGGCCTGCAGAACATTTGTGCTCAATAGGGCCCTAAATAAAGACAAAAAAACACAAAGGCATCTGATTGTAACTTGAGGAGAGCTTTCGACTGCATGTTCTAATCTCTATGTTACTTTTAATGTCAAAGAAGTTTGACATCGCTCTGAACACTGAAGTGGAATTATTTTACCTTAGTTCTGTATAGATATAATAATAAGTCTTTTGAAATTGTTTCTCCATATATATAAAACCCAGTGTCTTACATCCTTAAACAAAAGCTTAAAGCTGTATATGAGAATGTTGTCTGTGCAATCACAGCATAGACAACCTGGTTGTCTATCCAAATTTAAGATTTTTTTAAAAAATAGTCTTAAAATATATTATTTGGATTTGACCTTAACTTGAAAGAATTATAAAAGAAAATCTCTGAGGAACAGATTTTATTTGCATTGCACATCAATTTTGATATAAACCCCTGGAATCCAATATGTTTTAATAGGATTTACATTAAGCAAATGGATTCTTTATTCCAGTGCTAGTGTAATCTTGCCAAGAAAACTGCAGGGTCCAGTAAATCACCAGGTGTCAACACTGACTCAAAACCATCAGCATGCCTCCCCCCTCCCTACAAAAAGAAAAAAGAAACAAAAGAAAAGAAAAAAGAAAGGAAGGAAAAGGAAAAAGAAAGGGAAAAAAGGAAGAAAGAAGGAAGGAAAGAAGAAAGGAAGGAAAGAGAGAGAGAGAGAGAAAGAAAGAAAAAAGAAAGAAAGAAAGAGAAAGAAAGAAAGAAAGAAAGAAAGAAAGAAAGAAAGAAAGGGAATTCGAAGGAAAGAAAGAAAGGTAATTTTTAAGGAAAAAATACCTTCCTGTAAAAGCTTGTTTGTCTTACCTCTGCAAGTGGATACCAGCGTGCAATGGGTTTTCGAGGGTATGAGAGCATTTCATTCCAATGGTCTCGCCCAAGACTTTCTGCTTCATTGCCTACTTGACAGACTCCAATTACTTCATTGTGACCTACACTGTGAAAATGTTCAATAATATTTATTTCTTAAAATTATGCATTCAGGAACTATACAGTTCAAATGATCTAATAGCTGAAGCAGATGGGCTCTTAAACATATCTTTGCAGTTCATGGTAATGAGATTATAGTAGGGGAACAGCATAAATATAACCTTTTTCTCTCCTGCAACAGCCCTGAAGAAAATCTTCTCCAAAGTTAGCATTTGTTTCGCAAAGTAAGCCTGCCAAAGACACCAGTAGAGGATTTTTTCCCATATTAGGAGAAATGTCCTTTCTTTGTCTGTTTCTATTAACGTTCACTTTGAAATTAATGTTCAGCTTTAAAAAAACCATCCTTTACATCCAAAGCTACTTGTGCAGTTTGCAGTTCAGAAATTTAATTCTTACAAATAAACCATGTGTTTTTAGTCTTATATTGGCCAGTTGGTATCATTTAGTTGATTGGAAAAGCTAATCAGAGTAAGACTTGATTAATATTTGGGAAAAAATGCTTACATTAGACTGAGAGGTTCAGATATAGCAACTAAGGAAACTATTGTGTCAATTTTATTTTCAGCAAAAACAATCTTAGTAGGAAATTGTAACACCGCCTTTGTCGCTAAACATTTATTCAGATTTGAACACCCTAATTTAGACCTTTCACTCATCGTTTTTCATAGCTGTCCAGATATCTCACCGGTCATAATCCATAACGGCTATAGACAAGTGAATCTGATCAATGCTTTCTGGAGGGACATCAAAGACTATGGCTTCATTGTAAACAGGATTGAGGGTGTTCCGCTTGATAGAAGTCTTCCTTTTCTTCAATCGTCTCCCTTCACACATTAGTGACACCTTCACATATGGATCTGCGTGACATATAACAATCACAGCATTTTATTTTGCTTTATTTCAAAATTTGACCAATATATTCATCTGACTTAGCTCATGACCTTATTTTAAAGTCTGACCAATGTATTTATCTGACTTAGCTTCCCTGTCTTTATAATCTTCTCACTGTACTATAACAAAAAGGAATGATTTAATTCATGACCATGTAAATTCTTTTAGAATTTATTTCTCAGGATAAAACAAATAGCATTTTTACATTACATTGAGGACAAACCCGCATCATTAAATCACAACTTCTAACTTTTTTTTTTTTTTTTGTAAATGTAGAGGCAGAAGAATTTGCAGTGAAGTCTGCCATAAGCGAACATGCAACAAAAATATGCCAGTTGGTTGTTCTGTTTATAGGTATATATTTTTAGTAGGCAGATAGGGCTACCTGTTTCACTTTTAGAAGTATTTTAATCCAGGAGGATAATTGACTTTTTCTGCTCTACCTTGTTTATCATGCTTGCCTGGTGAACATCAATCCAAAACTTGGACCATCTTTGTGTTCATGAAATCCAAATGAATAGTGGCTCTGTTACTGGGCTGGATTTCTAGCATTAATGTGGCTACAAATACACACAGTCCAGCCCCTGTTTAACAGAGCTTTTACAAAATGTCTAAATTAAATTCCTTTTCTCTTAATAGAAGGGTTAATCCATTCCAAGCACACAAACAGTGTCAGGCAGATAGTTCTATGTATTCAACAGCAATATCACCAGAAATAATTTAGAAGCTACTGCTACTATTAGGGTAGAATGCAGTTTTTAAAAATCTTTTCCCCCAAATAATTACAATTTAGTGCCAAAGGCAAATGTGATATAGCCAATCAAATTTGGGGACACGACTCCTTTCCTGTTTGGATTTCTTTAGCCAATAACTGTTGTATCAGCTTAATCTATCTCAAAGGAGGACATGAAAAAAAATAGTAAGGAAAGACAGAAACACAGCAAATCTAGGTGGTGTGATAGTTAACATGTTGGAATTGGTATCTTTCAGACTCACTCAGGTTTCAAGGACTGAAAATAAGCTGCAGTTCTTCTGTACCCCAACTGAAAACAAAACCCTAAAAAATTCACTATCTCATTTTGTTTATCAGACTTTTTATGCAACTAACTTCTAAGATCTCTAAGCAATTTAAGATTGAATAAGGTACAAATTTATCCCTACCACATACATGCCAATAATATTTTTGTTATTATTGTTATTTAATTTATATAGTTGCCTATCTCACATACATGTACAAAAATAATCTTAGGCGACTGTGAAAGATATTCCTACCTGATGCTCCTGTTATGTCCATTGCTTTTAAATTTCTTGCTTTTATTATAGTTATGGTTAGCCTGCCAGCTGTTGGAAGATAGCAAAGCGAAAACATCAACTCGCCAAGATCCACCTTGTCCTATGGAGAGCAATAAAATACATATGGAACAATATTAAAAAGGTCTTTCAGCATCTGTTGAAGTATCACTAATGGGACTGATACATCTCTTATTCCTAGCAGTTCCATATTTATCAGATTTTCAACTTGTTTGCTGTTTCCGGAACAAAATGGAAATTCTGAGTGAAGTTTTCTGAGTAAAATTGCCACGTGGTAAGAGCGCATCTGTGAATCTCAACTGTTTAAAAAAAAGGGGGGGGGGAAGAACAGAGTTGTCCCCAATCCCAGACCTACAAAGTACCAGTTATATCACTTATTCCTATGTTCTTCTTATAGCTTCTTTAATCAGCTAGTTCCTATCCTCTTGCTGGCAGAGAGAAAAACCAAGAATAGTAACTAGTAAATCCCTAAGCAGAATTTCCCCATTGGAACTAATTATGGCTGTAAAGAAGGAAAAGTTGGAAACTTACTGTTTTCTGTTGGACTATGGATACAATGTATGTATCAACTGATTTAGTTAAACAATTTAGAGATCACCTGACTCCTAACAACTTTGGGCACTTTATAGTTAAAATGCAAGAAAATACCATAACAAAGAGAAAAATTCATTAGTAGTGCAAGGATACACATACACACCCACACACCATTCAACATGAGCCCCACAATCAACCTACCCAAGACCCAGGAGAATACCCATTTCTTCAATAGCTTCCTGAACATCATCAAGGTGGAAGCAATCTGGATATCTATCAGAGTCCTAGTCATTCAAAATCTGTTTTATGTCAACAAAAGTCTTCCTCCTCAAATATGCAACTTTTCCTATTATAAATCTTTTGCATCAGAATCATCATAAAATCCCAGGAAACAATTTGTTTTGGTCTATGGATCAAGCAAATTAAGTTGCTTAAGCATGCAGACTGAATATAGTTTTGTCCCTTTTGGTTTGAGAGCATATTATAGAAGCTAGAAGGATGTTCAAAATATGCAAGTTGATCTTGATCTTGACAACTCAGTAAGGTTGTTTTGAGGTATGAACATATCCCCAGAAAACTCTCAAGCATTAGTGAAATTTATATTTAACATTTCACATTCATTTTCAAAACCATTAGAGGGTAGATATGTTTTTGAGGTTTATCTTTAGGAGAAAGAGGTGGGTTTTTTTACAGCTATTTGACTTTAAACTGGAAATAACTGGGAAAAGGTTTACAGAATTAACTTCTATTAATTTTTTGCAGTATCACACAATCTAAAGATATTTCAATGGCACTTCATTTATAGTCATTTATAGTAAATTTAAGATATTTTAGAACTAGTATCCCAACTGCAATAACTGCCCCAGAAGGTACAACTTGAGAGCCACAACAATGGTGAAGTTTCCCTCCCAATAAAAAAGTTTCCATCATTTATAGTAAATTTGAACCATATTCCAAACAATGGAATGAAAAAAAATGTATTTTTTTAGAATTATTTATGCTACAGGAAATCATTTGTTAATGTAATCCTATCTGTTTGAAGTGACTGCTTTGATAAAGGGAAAGAAATCCTGAACAACCAATAACAAGACAGGTTTTTGCTGAATTTCCCAATTTTTTCGGTTAGCCTGCCTAGTACTTGTGAACAAGTACAGGAACTAGTTTGGCAACAATCTTACATTTAGTTTTACAATCTATTTTCATTCCTTGGTAGCCTAAGAAAATATGATGCCAAAGAAAAGATCTTATTACGTATGAGGGGATTCAAAATTAAACACACACATCTGCCACTAGATAAATGCATTAAAAGAGAGTGACGCCCAGGAACTAAATCAATATTGTATCTCCAGTTAAAAACCTTTCAAGGGTATGGGACTTAGTGTAACAAAGGCTCCATTCATATTGTAATTTACAATTTAACACTTGCCACAAGTAATATATTGTCAGCTCAGAAAAGATGTAGTTCAATAACAGTCAAAAGTAAGATTGACAAAACAAATCACTTTGTAGTAGAATGCTTAATTTATTCCACTGACTGGTCAGCACTTCTGGCAGACTTGACCAGAACAAAAACAGAATTCTTTCATGAAAAATTAGATAAAGCAGAAAAATTTACTGAATAAAGTTATATTACTGAAAGCTACTGTATTGCATAGATCTGGCCAGAATTCATCCCTGGAGTTTGAAAAAAAAATGAATAACAGTAACAACAATAACAACAACAACAATAATAATAGAATGATATTACAATTCATGATTGATAACAAAACATTATTTGCTCCTCCACCCGCTATCAATTAGATATATGGGCTTCATTACAAAGTTTGATGCCCAAACTCCTACAAAAATGAATTATAATAAATTCCTAGTTTGCATGCCCTGCATTAAAAAAAAATGTTATCCCCTCTTTCTATCATGACCAAAAATTGCTAGCGTCAGGAACAGACTACAATGGTACTAAAGAACATAATAAGGAGACTGTCGCACCTTAATGATCATGGAGCATACTGTAGGAATAGGGAAGGAAGAAAAAATAAATAAATTTTTGGCCTGAGCCCAAAGAATGGAACTCAAACAAGAATAATAGGAGCAAAAAAGGAATTGCTCAGAATCCAAGTGCCTTGTCCATCTAGCCAGAAAGTCTGAAAATGACACCCACCATTATATCAGGTAAGATGAATGACTCAGATCAACTCTTAATTTAGGCTACTTGACTGATTGCTTACATAACCATATTAATAACACAAGAGCTACATTAGTTAAAACTGCCAACTGCTTGTCCTAAATGTAACTCTAAAATGTCTAGTTGTTTTAAAATATCCAGTTGTTCAGCCACTTTGGCAGTACCCTTTGTTTTGAGAGGATAAATATTTAAGTTCTTACAGTGCCCCAGACAGCAAATTGCTTTTGAAGTCTTCATACATTAATGATCTTTTCAACCAGCACATTCCTATTCACTGCTTTTGTAAAATTTTAAGTCTGGTTAAAAATGAAAATGGACACATACAGTTTGAGACTGTATGTGAATACACTCTTAAAGTATATACCTTAATTCCCTGCGATGTTGCAGCTTTTTGTTTCATTCAAAAATAAATGAGCTTAGAAATAGAATTATCCTGTAACAGTTTTTGAATAAATTCAGGAATCACAGGTAGTCCCCATCTTACAACCATTTGTTTAGTGAAGTTTCAAAGCTATGACACTTAAAAAAGTAACTTATGATTGTTTTTCACACTTATGACCCTTGCAGCATCCCCATGATCACATAATCAAAATTTGGACACTTGACAACTGGCATGTATTTATGACAGTTGCAGTGTGTTTGGGTCATATAATCAACTTTTGCAATCTTCTGACCAGCAAAGTCAAGGGGGAAGCAATAATCACTTAACAACCTTGTTACTAACTTAACAACTACAGTGATACACTTAAAAACTATGGCAAGAAAGGTTGTAAAATGGGGCAAAACAACTGTCTTGTTTAGCAACAGAAATTTCAGGCTCAGTTGTGGTTGTAGGTCAAGGATTACCTGCAGAGTTCTCCAACTGTAACATCTGGAAACTCAGCAGATAGCAGTACCTAACTGATTTGGCTGAACTTGGGCAGAAATCTCATTACCAGGAAATCTCATGGCTATATGTTAGGCAGTCAAGTCAACAAACATCCTGGGAGAAGACTATGGGAAACTATTTGTACACTGTTGCTATGATCATGACAAATATGTCTGTAAAATCACAGTGAGTTGAACTATAGACAACCAAGTCTTTATAATAAATTGAAGGGTTCAAAGAATAATCCATACTGATGCCAAAGCAAAGAGAAAGAAAACATTATTCTGATTCAAAGGTGTCATCATACCTTGATGAAGCAGAAGCTATAGATTTTGTTCTGACTGCCATTAACCTTTGCACTGAACGAAATAGCATGTTTTGTGTTATTTTAGCTGCCTACTCATTGTATCAATTAAAGCAGAGGTCCCCAATCTTTCTGCCTCCATGGACTGGGAGCAGCAGCAGTGGTGGAGGGGTTGGGGAAGAGGGGATGTTTTTGTGCATGCAACCTAGCTCCCGCACTTGTGCAAATGAAGCTTCATTTGCCTGCTGCTTGCACGGCCCAGTTCGCAATGATCCACGAACCAGTAGCAGTCCACGGCCTGGGGGTAGGGACCCCTGGACTAAAGGACCAATTTCTAATCACATCAACAGGGACAGAAGTGAAGACCCTTTGATAGCATGATGACAGGGATAGTAGCAGCAACAGGTCTTCCCATGCTGTACTGTGCACATTTTTTAATGCAGAATGATGTATCATTAGGCTTACATACCCATGACTGGTATTCAAATCTCATCAAAGGAACAGCTCTGCAGAGCTCGGGAAGTGAGATAGCTTTAAAAATACTGTAATGACAGGTCAATTTGGCTAAAGAACAGCCAGACTGGGATTATGTTTTGTTTTGAAAAGATGCCCTAATCAAATGTCATATCATAGACCTGCAGATTTCTGGAATTTCTGATTTCTGCAGTAAAAAGTATTCTTTCAGGAATTATACAGATGGACCACCATTCTAATTTAAAGCCATTTGATAGGGAACACCATTAAATAAACAGGGTACTCATCAATATAGCTCTTTGCAACTGTCCTCCTGCCTACTTAACTAACTTAAATTTAAATATGGAAAAACCATTTAAATTTTAAATATGGAAAAAGGCAAAGCACTACAATTAAATCCAAACGTATCCACCATCTTTTGGAATAAGCTGTCTTGAGGTATTAATGAGCTTAATTTGTTTCATCCACAGTATTCACTTTTTTTAAAAAAAGAACACATTTTTAACTACAGTCAATGGGTTAATATCAACATAAAAGAAGAAAACCAGAATCCTAACAGAAGCACAAAATAAATCGACACGTTATTTATTAAACTGCCTATCTCAAAATGTACATACTACACTGCAGAGAAACTGGAGTGTAGTCTTAATGCTTTGCCATCACTGGAACCAGGAGTATGAAGCAGTTTGATTGCATGAGAAAGGCTTTCTGTTCATATGG